GTGCAACTGCTCTTGCATACTTCTCATTGTATTCAAGCCATATAGAACATTGCTTTCAGGGAACGACCTAATATTATTGACACAATGTATTAATATATTGATATCATGATTGTTCGATAATTTTTATGCTGGTTGTCAACTACCTAATACAACCCTCCACTTTTTTTCATCCAAGGCTTCAAACTAACAATGCAGTGTTGTATGATTCATATAAGAGCATCATTTTTTAATTAACTAAATATGCTTAACTATGTTAGTAAATAATAATAATCTTATATTTTTCAAATTTGTTAATTTGATTTAAAATTTTCATGTTCACATGAAATTTGTATGACAACTCATTGACATAAATGTGTTCTTAAATGAAATATTTATAGTTTTAGAAGATCATTTTTAATTAAAAATTAATATAATTACATAAAAATTAGTATTTATACAAAAAACATTTATAATTACTAAACTTTGACTTCATTTTTTATTTCATTGCATTTATATGTAATTTCATAGGTTACATTGCATACTTTCAATTAAAATTAAATTTGTTATGATTTTTCAAAATATTAACTCTCTTTATTAAAACCTGGCTAACCATTAGAGAGCTATTTGAAGGTATTTACCAGTCGTTGGAGCCTCTTTTTAAGAGCATTTAAGAAAAATCTTATATATACATTTGATATATTTTAAGATACTACAAATATGAGATATTTTTGGAATAGAGATGGAATGAAAGAACTTGTTAAAATTTCTCATATTTCATCTTTTCCATATTCTCTTCAAAACAAAATTCTTTCTTGAGAAAAATTTTAACTTAAAATCTTTCTATAGCTTAAGCTCATACCTTCCATATCAATAACTAAAACTTTGAAGTTGTTCGAACAATTATCAAGTTTAAAAGATTATTCTAAAAATATTTAAGTTATATTTGTTTTCTCTGATATATTTATGTCTGATCAAATAATTAGATTACAAATTTGTCTCTCTTTATTATAAAGTTTTAAGGAATTATAACTTGTTACACTGGGAAGGACATGATATTACGGTAGCAAGATTAAAATAATAAAATCCTGGATGGTGGAGATCCAGGTGATGACATTGGCAAAGTGAGAGGCCGAACCATGTAAAATTGTGATATCTCTTGCTAATTTTTCACCTTTTCTAAGTTTGCAACGGGCAACTTTCTGACAAATCAATTTTTTAAACTTTGCACTCTTTTAATTTTGCAAGTTCAAATAATTAAAAAAAAACACCAACTCATCCCTCTTAGTTGTGCCACGCCCTTCAATTGGTAGTAGTGTTTGTGTGTTTTTTTTTTTTTTTTGGTGTCTTAACCATCAAAAGCAGACCCACTCACAATGGCACATAACATTCTCTTTAGCAACACTACAAGTCACTCCACCACAAAGCTCCCATTTCTAGACAATATTTCATTTAATTGTTGGAAGAACTTCATCAATGAAATATGTCAACCTTAGAATATAAGATCCACACTAAGGCAGATGGACTAAAGGTTGAGTAGCCATTTTTGGAATGAATTTGAAATAAGGTAGCACTCGATAAACTAAACTCCAAAATTATGGCTGACTTTTATTCTACTCTAAAACCAGATAATTATATAAAAGTCCCAATATTGAGACCTCCAAGAACATTTGAGATTAATTTATAGAAACTTGTGAAAGAGATAATGAAATTAGAAATGAAATCATTAAACGATTAGTCAAATAAATTGAGTTATTTCACATGAAATATAATGAGTTCATTAGCGATATATGTACAAATTTTATGAAAGTTGTAAACTAGCCACACTCATTAAATAGAATATATAAAAATATAGAATTGGCATAAAGATTATTCGTTGCTTGAACTTGCAATTAAGAAATCTAAGGATCTTTTCAATTATTCACTTGAACAAATATTTGATTCTTTTAGCACATTAAGAAATTCCAAACAAGAAAGAAAATGGGGAAAAAAAGATGATAGTCCTACAGGTTAAAAATTTAAAGACACGAACATCTGAAAGTGATGAATGAAGGCTCAAATGAGATACTCACATTACCGAAAAAATTACGATCAATATTGAAAAAGAGAAACAAGGTAGGAAAAAAATAAAGCTCATACGTATGTAACTCATAATACTTCTAAATATGACGGAATAAAATGTTTTCATTGTAAGAAATATGGGAACATCAAGTGGGATTAGCCTAGACCTGGTTGATGAAAAGAAAATAAGAAAGAAAAAAATAATAAGAGAGAGAGAAAGCACATGAAAGACTCCAAAACAGTCTTAAGGCCAAGTCAGATAATAATAGTAGCACTTTTTCCTTCACAAATTCAAATAAAGAGGCTAATCTACGCCTTAAAGTTGTAGAGGACTCTTTTTAGCCAAATCAACTATATCTTCTACTTAGTAGTGCAATGAGTTTATATTTGTCAAAAATCTTATATACGTGCAACTAATAAACTCATTATATTTCATACATAACAATTCAAAGTCATGAACTAATCTATTAAAACTTGTATTTTGAAATTCATTATTTCGTTCATAAAGTATTATAAGTTTATGCCAAATATCTTTAACAGTCTCCATCATTGAGAGTCTCATATAATCATGTTTTAAAACACAATATAAATCACTCATCAACTTAGAGTTTAATTTATTGAGTTTTAGCTCAACTAAAGCCCATTCTGAAATAACTGTCAAACTTTACTCCAACTATAGTCTTGTCAAGGGATTGCATAATCCAGTTAATATGTTCAATAAACAAGGATATTGTTCTCTTAATAATTGACTAATGTGTATCTTCCAAAAATCAAAGAGAATATTATATAAAAATGAGGGATAGTCGGTGTTGCTGAGGGGACAATCATGTGTCAGAATAAGTAAGTCCACCATTGATGGTTAAATTAAAAATAGAGCTGAAGATCTAGTACCAATTGAAATATATGACTCAATCAAGATGAGAGGTGAATTTATGCTCTTTTTTAATTTCCTGGAACTTGAAAAAATTTAAATGAGGTGAAATAAAAAAAAAATGATTTATAACAAATAAATATTAAAAAAATGCAAAAGTGAAAATTAATAAGAGACCAAACAAAAAACTATACTAGATTCAGCCTTATCTCCATCACTGCCTAAGCCTCTATCATTTAGAATTCCATTATTTTAACCTTATTAGCATAAAATCCTCTTTAAATTCCATTTTCTCCTCTTTCATCAGTCATGTTCACAGATCCTTCACTATATCCTCTAGTCCTCTTTCTATAGCTCTGTCTGGCCTGCTCCCCTTTAAAACCATATCCCGATCCCTATCATTGTAATGGACAATCAACCATTTGGTTCCCTCACTGTTCACATCTGAAATAATATCCAGTCATCAGAAAATATTTTTCAATATCTCTCACCACATTGGGCACACTCCGGTACATTTCCCTCAGTCGTCTCAAATCCTCTCCAGTTGTCTAAAGATTTACTTTTTTTTCACTGCTAACTCTCATAGTCATATCATCTCCCAATCTCTTCCTTCTCATATCCTGTCGTGATATAGCTAAATTGTTTTCCACCAGTCTTGCTCCCTCAACTAGTGCTCTAACTACATTACGTGATCACAGATGGTGGGAGGCATGTATAAGAAGAGAGTATACGGATTAGGCTCACAAGCCTACCCATATGAGTCATAGTCGTCCAGCTCAACAACCTATAAAGATAGAGACATTGAGGAGATAGTCAATTGAATGATGGCTACTCTGCCTGAGTAGAGTAAATGTGACAAGTTCAAGTTGATATGCTCATGCAGCAAAATCAGATGCAAGCAGAGATGCGAGCAGTAATGGAACAACATTAATAACATAATTAGGAGGCCGAGGAGAGTGAAGAGATTGAGGACGATTACATTTACTTTATATTGTAATCATTTTAATGTCCAAAATCATATTTTTGTGTACAAATGTAGAACATAAATTTGTTCAAAATATTTGTGTAATGACTGGTTTTTTTATAATTTTTAGTTGAATTATTAATTTTGAGTTATATTTGTATGATATAATGAGTTGTTATTATGTCATTATTTATTTTTTGTATCCATAAAAAATTAGACTACAGAGTTTTCTTCTTTTTTTTCTATAAGTATCCGATAGTATATCCATTGTAAATGTTTGATACAGGCAGCGACAAAAAATTTGATAGCAAAATCTGCCAGAATTTTTGGCATAACTCTCCGCAGAAATTTCTGACGGAAAATTCCCACAAAAAAATTTGTCAAAAATTCTAACAAGAAATCCAGCAGATTTTGACGTCGGAATTTTGGTCTTTTTGTACTGATAGATATCGGAAGTCCGTAATTTGAGCAGATTTTCAACAAATATAAATTCTAACGAAACCTTGTTTCCAACGTGTGTTTTAGTGATGAAAATAATTCCGCCGAAATCCACCGAAAATTATAATTTATTATGGATTTTTTAAAACATACTTGACCATTGATGCATCTAACCCAAATTCAATCTCTTTATTGCACACACCCTGACAATCCATCTATTTAAACATCCTTATATACAATAGCTACATATGCAAACAAGCACAACTAATTATAAAATTAGATAGATTTCATATCCTTTTGTTTACATTAGCTTGTTTCACCCATCTAATACCAAAGGGCTCTAGCTCCAATGGTATGCTCACTAGTTTGTAACGCAGAGGTCACAAATTCAAGCCCATCTTGTGATCTTCTTTAAACTAAATAATCACTAGCTCCGTGAGTGAAATTTGTCAAGCATGCATCTCTATAACAAGCTTCATGCCTTTTTTTTAAATAATTAAAATATTTAAGATTAGTTTCTATCCTTAAAAAAAGCATAAAAGCCAATCCCACGACAAGAAAACACTGTATGAAACTCACACTAAACAAACAAATATGCTTCAAAAATAATGATGATTAAATTTTAGGACCAATAGCAAATCCCATGTCTCATGCCAAAAATAAATGAGAGATTAAAATAAGAAACCATACCTTTTTTCTTCGAGCTTCACTTCAGTTCCACCATACTCAGGCAAAAGAACAACATCTCCTTCCTTCAAAGAAAGAGGGATATGTTTCCCATCTTTATCTCGAATCCCAGGTCCAATAGCCACAATTTTTCCAGAGTTAAGCTACACCACAAATAGAAACATGGTAAACTTACAGGAAATTAGAACAAAATATAAAAGTAGAATCAAGAAATGCACTATAATGACTAAAAATTTGCCTAAAGAAAAAAAAAACAATTGATATTCACAAATATTCAAAACAAAATCAAGAAAATAAATAATATAAGAGATAAACAAGAAGGCAAACGAAGGTATTCATGAAACAACATAAAAATAGTTCCAGGCTAGCTTTAGCTCAAAGAACTGGAAAAAAATGTTGTGTCAGTAAATCCTGATGGATTTCACATCCGGATGGGTTTCATTACCCTTCAATTTGCAATGAGATTAGTGCAACTCTTGGATATTATCCATCAAGGTCCAACATTACACAAATTCCATCAAGCTATCCTAATGCAATTTTTTATTCTTAAACAACTACTCTTTACATTGACAGGGAAGTGAAGGAAATTCTATGTTGTTTTAGAATGAAGATGCATTATGCAAATCTATGGTTGCTATTCATATTCATCGCCAACCAAACAATCAAGCTCGGTGTCTAATACAGCAAGAAAAAAATGTAGGCTGTTTAGTTCAGTGCTATTTAGATGTAAGCATTATTTAAAAGTCAGTCATATGTCAGTGTTTTCTTTTAAATATTGTATGTTATCTTAAAAGTACATTTTAAGGCTTAAAAAGTGATGTGGTGCATTAATAGCTAAATAAGCCCTTAGGAATAGATTATCTAATTTTGTTACTACTAGCTTCTATAATGTTCTTATTAGCCTATAAACATGCAAGCATTGTCGTAGGAAAGATCATTAATGAATATATATCCTTTGTAAAGCCTTAGATCTTGTGTTGTTCCTTAGATTGGGAATTTCTTCTAGCAGATCCGATTTTTTTGCCGAACCACTACATCAGTTGGTATCATAACCTGAAGCTTGTGAAGAATGACGGGCTGCTGAAGAAGATGGGCTATCGATGACGATCGAAGCGAAGAAGACAGATTGAAGAAGAAGAATATGAGTAATCAATGACAATCGATACCGAAGAAGGTGGATTGTCGACAACGATCGAAGCCATTAAGCCTTTTACGAATCTGAAGTGAATGCACCACTTGATTGAATAGACAGTTTACTTCGTTCCATAAAGAGAATATGAATGACTTCGACCATCATTCCAGCGTCTTTGTCTTCGCTCCTCTCATCCGCTTCACACAAACGATCCCAAATCCACATGTCGCGTCGGAACTTGCTTTCGCCTACAGATTCGCCACCAGATTCGTGTGCCTCCAGATCCGCATCGTCTCACGATCTCGATCCCCTCCAGCAAGATTATGTCGTTGCCGCTCGCTCCCAATCCGGTCTCTAACACTTCGCATGCTTCAGTCCACTCCCAATCAGCACGGCCTCGGCACCTTCGCTCACGCAGGACATGTTTCCCTACTCTTTTGACTTTTTTTTGTACCGAAGACCCATACCCAGAAATCTTCCCAAACACTTGATCACACTTCGCACTCGCGCGGCCTACTTCTGCCTCCAGATTCGCCTGCGTCTTTTCCATACTCTCCTCCACTCCATCACCCGATAAGATCCCCCCCCGCACGTCGCCACTACACTCATCACCCGCTCGGTCCCATTTTCGTTGTTGCACGCACCACCCGAGCTTGTCGACCGCACTTACACAAGCAATTTGCTCGGTCCATTTTCGTTGCATGCTCCAACTTTTGTGAGATCTCCTTTTGCAATCAGACCCGCGATCCCACATCTAGAGTCGAGCCCGATATCCCACAGTCTTACTTTGATTCTGCCTTCGCTTCCTCTCGCGACCTCCGCAGTGCCCACACATGACCTATGTCCCGCGCTCCCAATCCCTTAACGCGACCAACATCATATATCCACTTCATCATCGAAGCTCTGATCTGTTCAAGAGCTTTTGGATCTACTAATCCGATACAAATTCAAAGGAATTCACCAAGTAGAGAAGAGGCTGGAGATATGAAGTTGAAGGTACAGAAGTAGAGTGACGAGAATATGAAGCTAAATGAAAAGTTGAGTGTTATGAATATAAACTACAGCAACCTTTAGAACTAGCTGCTTGATCTCATGAACTCATCTCCTTCGGAGAAGGGATTAACAAGTTCACCCACGAGAAAAAGGAATAGTATAAGCCAAGAATATGATAGCAACAATGATGAGAACACCTGCTTCATCCCACATGTATAGAGCAGGCTCAAGTATGTTGCCCTTGCATTAAGCCAGAGATAGTCCTGAAGGCCTTAAGAAACATAGATAAGTTCACGGACCTAATGTTGAGGGATAAAAAGAAAGGGTCATGCTATCGGGCTGATCATTTGCTTAAGGACTAGAGAAAGATTCAACTCTTTCATCCGTGAAGGTAGCTAAATTGAAGCATATTTTAGAGGTTTCCCCAAAGCAAGGTCTGCTGAGAGTGCGGGTGTTCACATTAGCTGAGAATGAGCATTTTGTGGATCCTGAAGACGAATCAAAGTTCCTTATGTTTCCAAGGGAATTGCAAAGGGCTGGCAAATCAACAAAGCTGATGGATCTTGGAGAAGCAATTAGGAAGGGAACTGAGACTCTTGGGTACTTCATTGGAAGAGTATAACTCTTTCTGACTCGCTTTGGTATAGACAAAGCACATTTGCGTTTTCGGCAACATTTAATGAATGAGATGGCTCACTATGCTGCAAACTGTTGGGATGCTGAGATAGAGTGCTCATATGGATGTATTGAATATGTTGGAATTGCATATAGAAGTGGTTATGATTTGTGTGCTCATACGAATAAAAATGGTGTGCCATTGGTTGCTCATGAAACGTATCAAGAATCCAGTGAGGATGAGAGGATAGTGATCACTCCATTTTTGAGAAAAATTATAGATGGCAGCAAGCATTCTTTTGAGTTTGGGATTACTGATGCATTGGATCTCTGGTTCATTGATGTGAATTTGCATATTTGGTTAAACAACAAGAGGTATTTAACTGAAGGAAGTTTGACTGAGTACAAAGCTCCAGTGATATCGGTTACAAAGCCTCTGAAAATAATTTTCAAAGATTTTTCAGGAGGAGCAACCCTTACATCAGATTGCCTAATGCTCATTCATAATTTGATTTCACCTGTAATAAAGATGAGCAACAACATGAATAGATTAAGCCATCAAGAGAATGAGCTTGTGGGCATGCATCAAAGACAAAAAAAATTATCGAAGAGGGTTGCTCATGATATCTACACCGACCACCCTACTGAGTAAATGCCTCAACGGAGTCGAACTCTTTCACGTAGAGGGAGAATGATGTGCTGCATCATTAGGTAAATAAGCCCTTCAGAATAGCTTATCTAAGTTTGTTACTACTTGCTTCTAGAATGTTCTTATTAGCCTATAAATATGCAAGTATTGTAGTAGGAAAGATCATTGATGAATATATATCCTTTTTTAAGCCTTAGAGCTTGTGTTGTTCCCTGAATTGGGAATTTTTTCTAGTAGATCTGATTCTTCCGTTGATCCACTACAAAAAAAAGATTTCAATTGCATCAAGATAACACTGATTTAGAACATATATGCATTGTATCCAACATTTATATGAAGTATTTAAGGATATCATAAAACCAAAACACTATCATCTTAAAATAACATGACATTATATTGCAATGCATGCAACCAAAAAGCCCTTTAACGAGCAGCAAAAATAAGATAATAACAGCTACAATGCACAAACCGTGAATGAATTGAATTACATAGTTAACGAAGTACTTTCAATCACAGGTACACATGTAACTAGAAACATGTATGCCACATGACACAATATTCCCAATCTATAAACAGAACTTGCGAGTAATCCACAAAGAAAGTGGAAGAAAACAGCCAAGGAGGCATAGCCGAAAAAAAGATCTCAATTTTAAGAGTTAAAGCGACAGTGCAAATAGAGATCTTCTTAATCCAGCCCGCGAAAACAACGAAATAAGCTAACAACCCACATAAGCTCATCAATAACCAATATTGTAAGAACCAGGAACGGGAATCTAATCCTACCTTGTTGTTCTTCTCGGGAAGAAGGATGCCAGTATTTGTCTTCGTCGGAGGCACTATCTTCTCCACAAGAATACGATTGAACGCTGGAACCAGACGCTTCGCCATCGGTGCTCGTGACGAAACCAACTGATCGGCTGAGTGAAGGAATTGGGCTTCAGCCTGGTGATCACTGGGTAGGGTTTAAGGAGGGTTCTGGATATCAGTTTTACATAAATACCCCGGCCTGCTCAAAATAATGACATAAATACCCCGGCTTGCGCGAGATAATAACGGCGTCTGGATGATGATAATAGCTAGACTTTATATTGGATGACACTAATCTCAAACTATTGGCCAAACTATGAAATGCATCTAAATGTTATATTCATTTCTAGCATCAAATGATGGAATCTAAAAACTATATCACTTTTCAAAATTTATTTCCAACTTTAAGTAATACGAGTCAAAAAATATTTGTATTTATTCCTTATTTATTATATATTATTTAAATTACTTTTTATTTTTGTTAAGATTCAAACATTAAATCATCATTTTAAAGATAAATATGATATCTCTTAACCAAGAAATTGGTAGTAATAAATAAAATAATAAAGTTTTGTGAGATGCTAAATTACAAATATGAAATGTACATGTTATTGCAAGCTAGAATGAACTTGAGCTGGGCAGTACACTAAGCTTAAGAAACTATGGTTTATGATTGATCTGATTAATCATGGTTTCCCTAGTCAACTAGGTCAGACCAGGGGTTGGAACTAGATCCAACATGTTCAAATAAGTAACTTGAGGCCACTGGAGGTGGTCTCAAGCAATGGAATAACCATTTGATCCAAAATGATCATTTGAACCCTTAAGGGGCAATTTGATCAACATGAGTTGACTTGGTCAACCATGCATGACCTAGGCTTTAATTTGAGTTCAATGCACTCCTAATGATGTTTAGCATGCATTGGAGAATGTCTCAAGGTTTGATTTGACTGGGTCATATTGAGGTTTGGAGAAAATTCTAGTTTTTTTTCTAAAAGGGCATTTTGGTCAACTATGGGTCAACCTAGGACCACCAAAGTGCAATTTAATTTTCAACATGTCATAACAAGGGTTATGGACATTGTCAAGGGTTTTGGGAAAGGTTCGAAGGTAAAATTCACAAGATGGAAGGTCCAATGACATAGTTTGTAAATATTTGAAGATTTTGCATCCCTTTTTATTTCAATTGAGTTTCTGGAGTTAGAGGCCTTATATTGGGGTTACATTTGGATGGTTGACACTAGAGACATGCCTAATAAATATGTAATTAATAGATAATGAATCGAGGGTTTGACTGGGTTTTAGAGTGATTGAAAAATACCTAAAAAGGGTTATAGGATATGGGCCCTTAACATTGAATTATGCTCTCGAATTCTAGATTTAAATGCAATTTTGAGTTTGATTGATTGGATTTGAATTATCCAAATCAATATCAATCAATAAGGTGATTAAGGATGATTGGATAAAGGAAATTAAGTGGTAGTGCACAGAGCTGAGTTGAGTAGTGTATTGAGTCACCTTACTACAGTACAGGGTTGCAGCTTTAAGTGATCTTAGATTGATATTAACTGGATGATTGAAGATGATTGAAATTTGATTGAAGTCTGATTAAAGTTTGATTGATGATTGAATTGAGGATTGAACTGATGATTGAATTGAGGATTGAACTGATGATTGAATTGAAGATTGAATTGAGGATTGAACTGAAGTTGGGATTAAGGTTTGAATTGAGTTGAAGTTTGATTGAAGATTGAATTGAGGATTGAATTGAAGTTTGAATTAAGATTTAGATTGAGTTCTAAATGATTGATAACTGGTCGATTTTCAACCATCAGATCAACCAACAAAAGTCTAGAGGAGTCATGATGACCTCATACATAAATGAGATCAATTCTACCCCTCTTCAATTCCAATTCATTTGAGGTAATTTAAACACTATAGGATTAAAAATTCATAACTATATTAAGATTAAATGAATATTCATTCTAAATTAAGTTAATTACCTGAGTCCCAAAACATCAAATGTTATATAATCATTGTTGGTCTCCCATTTAAATGGGTCATATTATATAAATTTTGAAATACATGAACTTATGTAGCTCATGATTTTGATGTAATCTTTCCTTTTACCCCTTTCAAAATGCTTGCAAGAAGCTGATCAAAGAAATCATCATCAAGCTCAAATCTATGAAAATAACTTAGGCATTCATTAAAAGGATAAAAATCAATAACTAACATCTTACTCCATAGTAAGATATGATCTAATGAGTAAATCAAATTATTTTCTCTGATAAAAAAGATATCATATGATAAAGGAACCATTATTAATATTAATTACTTGTAAATCTATTCAATAGTATGTGGAATATGATGAATGTTTATAAGAATAAATTAATATCTATGAGAGATTCAATGCTAAGAGTCACATGACCAATCATAGAAATATTCTTCCGAGGAGAAGAGATTGAAAATTTCTTATTAGAGAAGAGCCATTTTATTCAACCTACATGCGAGCATTCAAGATACTATTATCTAAAAGCTTTAAACACTTTACTTCAATAGGAGATGTTTTGGCCAATGTGGTGACATTGATTATGTTAGAATAAATAATCTCAAAAATAAATTTATTCAAATAATCATGATCCAATTTTCAAATCTTCTCTAAAAAATCTAAAATAGATGAACTTCCAATAATATTATGGTCAAAGATGGACAAGACAAAAGTTCTAAGGACATCCACATGTCATTGTTTACTTGAAATTGAACCTAATGAGGCTACTCTTGATTTACTAGAAGTTGTAATATGAGATTAAGAAATGCTATTCATATCGAGATGATAGGGGATTTGTTGGTTAGATAAAAAACTATGACATTTAAGCATCTTCATAGAGAAACCCACAATGAGGATGGATGTGTAGGAGAAAAATACAATATGAAGTTCTATAAGCGAGAGATTATCAAAAATATGTCTCAAGTTAATTAATGAGACTGATATATCCCTAGTAAAAAAAGGAATCTTCAAATATTTTTTTATTAAAATAATTGCAGGTTAGTCATATATAAAATTAATCACAAAACAATAGTTGTTTGCCAAGCTGATTGAATGTCATTTGAGAAATAATAGAGCAAATTGATCATGGAAGAGGAAGAAAAAAAGTTTTTATATTGTAGTGATCAAAATGAAGATCAATTCACCTTGTGGAGGCACAATTAGGGCTTTTTACCAACCTCTATTACTGGGCTATTTAAGTTAAAAACTAGTCAGAAGTCAAGGTTGATTCAACACTTCAAATAGTGTAATTAGAAGTCAAGCCATTGCAGGGAACACTACTAGTACCATGAGGATCCATAGAAGCCTCAATAAGAGGAAGACTAAGACACTTAGTGATAATTCTTGTTTGAGTAACTAATAGTTGATGTAGAGGTTGAACAATGTCTTATGGTAGCTTGTGTATTGATAGAAAGAGAATTTGAGATAAGAGGATGTTTAGAAACCAAATGTGAGGTGGAGCAATAACGAAAATCTATAGCACCTCAATTAACAATAATGGAGAAGGACCAAGCAAAAATATGGATGCAATCATGAAATTGATGGCTATCTCTATGGATGAATCAAAGAGGGGTGATGTTAGCACCAAAGGGCATTGACTTTAGAGGAAGAAGGCTACATGCATAGATGGGATGACTATGGATGACATAGGTGACATGGTGGTGGAGGGGTTAATCCCATCGCAAGGGTGATCTACTTGAGTAACATGAACAATATCTAAATCTGAACATTTTGCGAAAGGAGATTACCATAGAAGAAATTAGGATTAAAATGCGAGGTATATGAATCACCATGGGTTTGTTGAACAATCAGTGGTTGTTTTATAAATATTGTACTATGTAGGTAATATATAACTATGTTTTTTCGTGTGTTAATTTATGTGAGATTTAACAATAATTTTTTTAAATATCACATTATATGATCTTAGTTGTAGTTATTTTTTTGGTGCATGTTTTAAGATAAGATTTTATTATATGTCCGTGGACTTAATAAGGCATACTTTTTTCACATGTGGCTCATAAGTATATATATATATATATATATATATATAATAATAATAATAATAATAATAATAATAAGAAAAAGTTTCTAATTTGATGGTTTTTATTATTCAATTGCATAAAAAATTTATAATTCATTTTAAGTATTTAAATATTTCTTATAAATAAAAATAATTCCATTATACCAATCTTCTAAAAATTAAATTATAGGTTGAGTGATGGTAAAAACTAAACATACCTAAAAGGTTGACCAAATAATAAAACTTGTGAATTGTTGGAATTATTGACCAAAAATCATCATAACATCCTGCTTTTACTTCTAACACATCACCTATTAGTGCATTGTGAGGTAATTTGACATTTTCCCTGAATTAGCTATATCTTTTTAATTTATATTTTCAACCTACATGCTATTACTATGATAGATTTACACCATCAATCCCTCATTAGACATTTTCCTGAAAATGCCCCTCTGTCTGTGCTTTATGATACTAGTGGATGGAGCTTTCCTGTTAATTGTTCCGCTGAAATGCAACTTGTGATTTCCTCTATCCCTATCATTAGAGAGGGAAATGGTAATTTCTTATCTTGGGTTACTGGAAGTGTGGCTAGCTTTGGCGCCTTTATTCAATATTATTACAAAAAATGATAGGGATGTATTTTGGTGTAATTTTGTGTGGCATGAACACTATGCATTAATATATTCTATCTTTGATAGGCTTTATGGGCTTTTTATGGCGTTACTTCCTGCTATTTTTGAAGGATTTGTTTTGCTCTACATTGCTGCCTGATAGTTATAATATGGAATTTTGATCGGTTTAGGTGATTTTTTGGATGGGGTGATGATGAACGGGTTGCATTCTCTTCCCTTGGATGGCGACTCTTTGCAACTAATCTTTATTAGACGACAATTCTGACAATCGGGGGATATGTGGCTCTGAGGGTGTAATTCATATTATTCTGAGCCTGCTCCTTTCGGGTGGTTATTTTTGTTCATTTTCTTGATTGTAGTTTTTATTTTCCCCTTTTCTTTTTGACATGTGTATTTTTGCATCGTTTGGTGAGCTCTCATTCTTGTTGTTTTCTCTTCACAATTTTGAACTTTTTTTTTTTGTT